ACTACTGCTGGCGCTAATACTACTCCTGCAGCACTCCTCCAGAGTGCTGCTGCCGAATCCTGAAGACTACCTCCGGCCTGTAGGGCCGGCCAGTCTTATATAGTGCTGGCCCGTCGAGGAGGCCGCTCTTGCCAATGCCCAAACGTGCTAGACCCTGAGGAAGCTTCCGGGACGTTTCCTGGTTGCTTCTGACTAAAGCCTAACGGCCTATAGACCCTTGTTTTCAGGCTGTCAGGCTGAAACGACACGGGGCCTGTAGGCCCTGGTTTTCAGGTCGTCAGACTGAAACAGACACAGGCCTTGTAGGCCCTGGTTTTCAGGCTGTCAGGCTGAAACATACACGGAGACTGTAGGCCCTGGTTTTCAGGCTGTCAGGCTGAAACATACACGGGGACTGTAGGCCCTGGTTTTCACGCTGTCAGACTGAAACAGACACGGGGCTTGTAGGCCCTGGTTTTCAGGCTATCAGGCTGAAACAGACATGGGGCCTCTAGGCCCTGGTTTTCAAGCTTTCAGCCTGAGGGACGCAGGCCCTGGAAAATGGCCCCCGTGTGCAGGCGCAGCATGAAACACCCCCCCCTCCTTATGAAGTCGAGTCGGGGGGAGGGCGAAGCTGACGATCTGAAGGTGGAACCTGGATGCAGGTGCGGCGTGGAGCCGAAGAGACCGGCTTGCCTTGCATCTTGCGTTCGTAGCGTGCGAGAACGTCTGGAGCTGTTGCTTGAAGTTCCGCACGGGTCAACCAATGATCAGCTCGGTGTGTGCAGTATGGAAAATGTACCAAGTACTCCGTTGGCCTGTGCAGCATGGAAAATGTACCAAGTACTCCGTTGGCCTGTTGCCATGGCGACGCTGGGAGTTGACGTCGCCGACCTCCTAAAAGTCATCCATAGAGGGTGGGTCTTGCGAACGTCTCCCGGGAAAATCGTCATGTTCCGCTGGCGTGTAAAGAGCCAACTTGGAGCAATGAAAGACAGGGTAGACGGGCAAGTGGGCGGGCACCTGAATAGTGAAGGAAGGTCCCTCGGGTGCATCCCCAGCGGGTGCCACGACCGGCCAAGGCCCCATCCATTTCAGGAGGAGTTTGCGCGAGATATCTTGTTCAAGGCTGAATTCCGAGGCGGAGACCCAAACGAGATCGCCGGCGCGGAATGGGCAAGGAAGATGCTGGCGATTGGCCTGTTGGCTCATGTGTTGTTGCGTCTTGGCCATCTGGTCGCGTGCCTTAACAAGTAATTCTTGCATCCGACGCAAGAAAAGAAGATGGTCGTCTCTCTCGTCCGTTCGTGGAGTGATGGTGTCCAACGACAAAGTGACCGGCGAGCCCTGCTCGAACTCGAAGGGCGACATCCCGATAGCCGGGTGGATGGAGGAGTTGTAGGCCAACTCGACATCCAGCAGCCGCTCAACCCAATCCTTCTCGTCAGGACGGATGAGAGTGCGAAGGAGAACCTGTGCGGTCTGGTGCGCCCTCTCCGTTTGGCCATCGGTCTGGGGTGGCGAGCTGAACTGGGCTTGAGAGATGAGCCCCATCGGTTGATGAGCGCCAACCAAAAATCGAACATGAACTGAGTGTCCCGGCCGCAGACTATTTCCTTGGGGTAACCCTTGGTTCGAATCCAACCGGCATAGAGAACCTCGGCCAACTCCGGTGCCTTGGCATGATAGCGGCAAGGCTAAAACATGGCAAACTTGGTGAGTCGGTCAACCACCGTGAGAATTCCATCCACGCTGGTCTTGTGCTTGGGGAACGGGCCAGTAATGTCCATGGCAATCGCTTCCCTTCGCCTCAAAGGGACCGGTAATGGTCGTAACTCGCCGTACGAACAATGGTTGCAGGATTTGCAGAGTCGACAAACCTCGCATGACTCGCAATAGTGTGTGACGTCGCCGAGAAGGCCGGACCACCAAAATCGCTCGCGAAGTCGGCCAATCGTGCAATTGACTCGAAAGGGTCCGGTGGCGGGAGCATCATGGAATTCGCCAAGAAGCCATGTACGCAAGTGAGGATCACTCGGTACGCAAAGAAGGTCCTTCCCCCACGTGTGGACAAGCAAGTACCCCTCTTGGATCCGGTGGTGAGAAGGCGCCGGATTAGGAGAGGAGCAATTTGCGTACTTGTCGCAAAACTCGGGGTCGACTTGGTAGCCGCTGATGAAGCTGTCCCGCAAGTCGTCGTTAATCTCAAAAGTCGAGTAGACTGCGGTACAATGGTCCGGACGTCGTGAAAGAGCATCCGCAAAACAGTTTGACTTACCCGAAATGTGGTCGGGGAAAAAGTCAAACTGGTCGATGAAGGCCATCCAACGGGCAATCGTGCTATTGACCGCGTCTTGGGTCTTGTAGAAGACCAATGGATTGTTATCCGTTACCCATCGGAACTGCCGTCGACCGAGAAGAAAATGTTCTCAACGCTTGAGCGCGTGTACGAAGGCCAATAATTCCTCCTTCCGTGCGTCGTCAATCGAGTGCATGGCAGGCACTTTCTTGCTAAAGTACTCAATCGGGTGCGAATCCACACCGCCATGTTGCTCGAGGACGCACCAATGCCATAGCGGAACGCATCGGTAGTGACACGTGTCGGCAAAAGCGGATCGTAGATGCGCAACACCTCCGCGGATAGCAATGTGGCTTTGAGAGCCAAAAATGAAGTCCTCGCATGGTCGTCAAAGTCGAATGGCCGGTCCTTGCATTGAAGCTTGGATAAAGGAGCCGTGATCTTCGAGTAGCCCTTGATGAAGCGTTAATAGTAGCCGGTTAAGCCAAGGAAGGAACGGACTTTTGTGATGGTCTTCGGCTCCGGCCACTCTTGGATGGTTTGAATCTTGTCCGACAACGGACTGATGCCCTCCAATGTGACAAAATGGCCCAAGTATTCCAGCTCTTGCCGGACAAATTTGCACTTGCCGCCGTTGGCTTTGTACTTGGCATGGCGAAGCGTCTCCAACACTCGTCGAAGGTGCTCAAGATGATCCTCCAATGTCCGGCTATAGACGAGGATGTGGTCTAAGTAGACTAGTACGAACCGGTCCAGCATCGCACGAAACTCGTTGGTCATTGTCGCTTGAAAGGTCGTCGTGGCATTGGTGAGGCCAAAAGGCATAACGATCCACTCAAAATGCCCGTACCGTGTCTTGAACGTGGACTTGTAGCAAATCTTCCGGGCGTATCGAGATTTGATGGTAGCCCGACTTCAAGTCCAACTTTGAGAAGAATTTAGCGCCGCCCAAACGCTCGAGAAGGTCGTCAATCCGCGGAAGAGGTCCCGTATTCTTGACGGTTTGTGCGTTGAGCTTGCGGTAGTCGATGCACAAGCGAAGATCCTTGTTCTTCCTCCGTACGAAGAGAACTGGCGCACCGTATGGTGAGCTACTAGGGCGGATCCAGCCCTTATCCAAAAGATCATCGAGTTGAGCGCGGAGAACCTCAAGCTCTTCCTCGCTCATGCGATAGATGCATCCTTTCGGTGGCACGGCACCGGCCTCAAGAATGATCTCGTGGGAGATCGGCCGATCCGGCACCACACTGGTAGGAGACTCGAAGATGTCGGTGAACTCGTCGAGCAGCCGCGCCACTCGAGGGTCCGAAGACAAGTCCGTAGGTGAAGATTCGGTCGTCGTGGTGGCTCGTAGAAAACATAGGCCTATCTCGTCGGTCCGCTCGTAAGCACAAGTGGCCCGAAAAGACTTGGCCGTTACAACTTGGCACCGATCGAGGAGTGCGGAAGAGGAATGGTACACGGCACCTCAGCGCCGAAGGCGTCGTGAACGGTAAGTGTCCGCTGATGGAAGTTAACCGTGTGATCCGCACTTGCAAGCCAAGGCATCCCCAATATAATGTCGAAGTCTGTGTCCAAAACGTCAAACATAACCGGTTCGCAGGCATGAGGTGCGAAATAAAGCGGCACGGCTTCAATGTAGTGATCGAGGAGTTGTTGCGTCCGACCGTCCGCCAACTTGATCGTCGTCGGGTTTGGCTTTCTTCGAACTTGAGCGCCAAGGCCGGCCCTTTGGATAAAGGACTGGCTGATGAAATTGCGAGTCGCGCCGCTATCCATCAAAGCGCTGCAAGACGCTTGCCCAACTTGGATGCGGACATAAAGGAGAGGTGCATTGTTATCATCGTACCGCTGCATGTGAAACTCGGGGGCCACCTTGGTAACATACGCAAGGATGTCCCCCACCGCAGCTTCGTCATCCGTCGGCGAAGATGGTGGTGCATAGAAGGCTAAGTATGTGTGAAGATGGGCGCATAGTGCTGCGCATTGCGGTCCCGACAAGCAGCCTGTGGAAGGGAGAGGAAGCCATGCAAAATCCTCGGACGTCAACGAGTCCAAGACCTCTATGTTGAACAGTTTGGACTCGTGTCTCGAATCCCTTGAAGACCCACTTGAAGACGATCCATTGTTGTTGTTGTCGGACGGAGAAGAAGCCGCACACGCATCTTGTCCTTAAGCTTGAGAACCCAGTGAAGGAATGAGCCGGGCAGCATAGTCCTTATAAGAATACAAGAGGGGACTGTCGACTTCCACATGTGCCTCGGAATGAAGAGAGGTCGCTCGCGAAGCAACCGATTCCGAAGGCGTCGAGAGTGCATCCACATCACTCTCGACGGTGATCACTTTCCCGAAGGGGATTTGGCTTGGACCGGTGTGGGGCACGTTGCAGTGTCGTGCACTGCGCTGTTGCACCACAAGCAGTATCGGTACTTAGACCGGATGCGTTATACGCCTTCCGAGATACTGTAATGTGTCGAAGGCTCTTGAGCCGCTGGTCCGTCCCCGGGGGATGAATTGGTGTGTGTCTTCGGTTTGCCACGTCCTCGAAGGGGAGAGTGCATCCACATCACTCTCGGCGGTGCTCACTTTCCCGAAGGGGATTTGGCTTGGACCGGTGTGGGGCACGTTGCGGTGTCGTGCACCGCGCTGTTGCACCACAAGCAGTGTTGCACCACAAGCAGTATCGGTGCTTAGACCGGGTGCGGTATACGCCTTCCGAGATACTGTAATGTGGCCAAGGCTCTTCAGCCGCTGGTCCGGCCCCGGGGGATGAATTGGTGTGTGTCTTCGGTTTGCCGCGTCCTCACCCTCAGGAGGGGCGGTCACCATCCCGGGCGGCTGCCAATCTGTCTCCTTCTTTAGAAGGGGCAGTCTCGTTTGAAGGGTCGGTCAATGTAGTTGCTGCGACCACGGCCACTTTCGGCCGATGCTGTCCTCTGCCTTGGCCTGCAGCAGACGAACGGCCCAAATTCTTGGCTTCGATGTTCGTCAGGATGATCTGCGAGGCTTTATCAAAGAGCTGTTCACTTGTGGTGAGTGTCTCCGCAACTTGCATCAAGGCGTTCTGCAACGCCGGACAACTCATCCTGATGAAGAAGTGCTTGATAGCGAAAAATGTCGACGGCAAGATGGGCGTGGATGCCAAGCGTTGGTACTCGGTGATCCAGTCCGTGCTCGGCAGGTCGTTCTGATAGAACCGTTGAAGTTTCTCGGCTGCCTGAAGCTCAGTCGGCTCCACTTGGAACCGCTTATGCCATGCTGCCTTGAGATCAGACCAGCTGATCTTCGTATGCAGCTCGGAGACTGCGACGTTGTGCGGGGACAACTTGTCCAGCCATGCTTGGCACGCGCCTCCCGAGCGGGAGTATAAGTATGCGTGCCGGTTCGGGTTGATGGCGTGGTGAGTGTCCAACTTCAACTCGAACTGCCGCCACCATGGGATCGGGTCTGTCTTCGTTGCATCACAGAAGATCGGGAGGCCGTCAAACTTCGGGATGCTCTCGCGATTGGTCCCGGTCGGACTGGCTGCGGCAGCGCAAATCTGCTGGTCAATCCGCTGATTTGTCGTTACGGCGCCGTCCTTGAGAGTCTGGGCGTCGATTTCCAAGACGTTGACACGGTCCGTCAAGTTGGAGAGTCCGACGGGGGCGGCTGATGCAAGCTGCTGTTCCAGCCAACGTACCCGGTCAAGCAGTTCATCGATAACGGGAATCTGCTTCCGGACCTGGATGTCCATGCAGTAGACGTCCTCTTGCTGTGCTGCACAGGTGGCGACCAAGTCGCTCACATGTTCGATTGTGGTTGCAAGGCCACGCACAGCACCCTCCTCTTCAGCAGTCACTGCCCATTCGCCGGCGATCACCTCGATATCCCCCTTGCATCCAAGGAGTTTGTCTCGCCGTAGTCGACGCCGTTCGTCTGCGGTCGTTGCTGCTGCCTCAGCGTCCGCCTGTCGCTGCTGTTCAACGAGGCGACACTATTCCTCTGCTTCTTCATCTTCCTTCTTACGTGCGGATGTTGCCGCAGCTGCCCGTTGCTTGTACTCTGCTACCATGTCCAGCATGCGGGCCTCATAGGCCTCGGTAGTCTCGCCTGGCTGCTGCTCCATGCCGCTTGTCTTTCAGCGGGTGAGCACCATGCACTGACGTGTCCTGCTGCTGCCGGGACTGGTTGCTGACGTGGCACTGCTGCCGTGTGGCCTGCTGACGTGGCAACTTACCAATGCCGCCGCAGGGGGTACCCGGAGGGAGATAGAGAAAAGACTAGAGAGGACAACAACATAGGTGGGGAGGGGTGGGATAAATCGCCCAGATAAGGAGCCACTGATCAAAAAAGAAAAGTTTGAACTTCGCAAAAAATCAAGAGAAAAGAAAAAATACTCGTTTGCAAGTTTAGTAGGCGCCCCAACTTGAAGTGCGAAATTATCAATGAGAAAAAATTTCGAACTTTCAGACCGCAATGACTTTCTGATAAAAGAATTCCAAAAATGAAGTACAAAAAAATTTCGGAATTACACAGATGAGAGTACGCGCAGTTTGGAGAATGCTAACTGCAAAAGGGATTCCCGTACCGTTTTCGGAAAAAAACGGATTTCGAAATAAAAATATTCCGGATTTTCTAAATAACGGGAAATTGCAACAGGAAATCGAAATTTTCAAAAAAAAAAGATATTCCGGATTTTCAACAACGAAATTTTGAATTTTCAGAAGAAAAACGAAATCGAAAATTTCAGATGTTGCGCTATTGCGATTTTCCACAACAGAGATAGTGAGAAAACAAAATCTAAGAAAATAAAGCAAGAGAAAAAATTTCCATTTCCGGCAGTGAGGTCAGAATCGTGACTTTGGGGGGCTAACTAGTGTGCTCTAATCAATCAATCAAGACTAATCAGCTACTCATTCCCCGCACACGTGTCAGATCAGGTTGTCCTTATTCACGTGCAGAGCTCCGATACCAACTGTTACATGCCCAGTTGAACGATTTACATAATAACCGAGGATCCGCAATGTGATAAAAAGGACTGAATGGACAATGCTGTGCAAGTAGAATCTCAACAAGCAATGTGCATTCCGATACATACAAATGGTGCGTTTATAGCGCAGCGAAGACTTTAGGTACAAGTCCTGACCTGATCGGGACTGACCTCATTCACGTAGCACAAGATAGCGAAGCAGAATGCTAGAATGCAAATGACTAGCGCAATCAATGTTTAAACGCAGACCAAACATGCATCATGTCCACGCCAAGGGGGGAAGGAGCCTGGCGCTATACACAGGAAAGAGGTGCCAGGTCCAGATATACACAGACGAAGAGGAGGGGATCAGACGAAGAAGAGGAAGGGGGAGATGGGAAAGTCCTCAACACCAAGTCCCGTTTCAAAACCCAAATAATCCCTCTTCGATATGTGTGAAGTCCAATGTCGAGTCTGGATCCAAATGTCACCAAGCTCTCTCTCTCTCTCTCTCTCTCTCTCTCTCTCTCTCTCGTTCGCTCGCTCGCGCGCGCGCGCGCGTAGTCTGCTTATGAAGTGAAGCCAGATAGCGGGAGGGTGAGAAGGAGATGGTGGACTCAGAAGAGGAAGAAGACGAACTCTCTCTCTCATGCGCCAGGTACTAACCTGTGAAGATGGCGCTGTGCTGCAGGTACCTCGAAGACGAAGCTGGAGCAATGGCGCTGCAGGTAAGTCCCTCTGGCCTCGGCCCAATCTCTTTCTCTCTTGTACTACTCTAGCTGCTTTGGCGCCCAGCGCTGAAGACTACAGTTAACGCTACTAGCGCCCAGCGCTGAAGACTACTGCTAACGCTGCAACTACTCCTGCAGCGCTCCAGAGTGCTGCTGTCGAATCCTGAAGACTACCTCCTGCCTGTAGGGCGGGCCAGTCTTATATAGTGCTGGCCCGTCCAGGAGGCCGCTCTTGCCAATGCCCAAACGTGCTAGACCCTGAGGAAGCTTCCGGGAAGTTTCCAGGTAGGTTCTGGCTAAAGCCTGAGGAAGCTTCCAGGAAGTTTCCAGGTAGCTTCTGGCTAAAGCCTGAGGGCCTATAGACGCTTGTTTTCAGGCTGTCAGGCTGAAACGACACGGGGCCTGTAGGCCCTGGTTTTCAGGCTGTCAGACTGAACCAGACACGGGGCCTGCAGGCCCTGGTTTTCAGGCTGTCAGGCTGAAACAGACACGGGGCCTGTAGGCCCTGGTTTTCAGGCTGTCAGGCTGAAACAGACACGGGGCCGGTAGGCCCTGGTTTTCAGGCTGTCAGGCTGAAACAGACACGGGGCCTGTAGGCCCTGGTTTTCAGGCTGTCAGGCTGAAACAGACACGGGGCCTGTAGGCCCTGGTTTTCAGGTTTTCAGCCTGAATTTCAGGCTATCAGCCTGAGGGGCGCTGGGCCTGGAAAATGGCCCTCGTGTGCAGGCGCAGCATGTAACAGAAGGTTTGAACCCAGCTCTCGGATCTGCAGGACAAATTTTAGTGTCTTATTTAATTTAATGACTACCCCGTGTCGATGTCCAGAGAAGGTCCATTGGGCCCAGCCCTTAAGTGAGGCGTGACAGGCTGCTTATTCGCCAACTTCCCTATCTGCCGCTGAGAACCTAGGAAGCGGGCGCAGCGGGTGACAGATGTTGTTGCCCCTAACTCACCTGCTTTGCACTTCATAGTTCAGGCAGCAGAGCACCTGTTACATGCTGCGCCTGCACACGGGCCCCATTTCATGGGCCCGACGGTTGCTTAGGGGCCCCCAGGCCGCGCGCCCTATTGACACGCACCCTGGAGGCCCACAGCGGCCCCTAGGGGCAGGATTCGATTTACGACATCATTCAGTTATTTGTTTATTGGTTTACTGTCTTACTTTTGTCTGTTCAGGCATCGTTTCGGACTTGCAGTCCCCAAGGCTGCGCCTTGGGCTGGGTACACCAGGAGGCAGGGCCCTTTGAGGCCAGGTTCGTGCTCATACGTCCCTACTGCATCAGCAGGCAGGGTCTGGACGTCCGGTCGGGACCCAGACCCAGTAGGCCACGTTTTTGGCCTGGGACCAGAGGCACAGGGAGGCAGACCAACGAGGCCCAGCACTACTTATAGCTGGGCCAGGACAGGACAGGGGGAGAGTTGGAGTAGCCCACTTCTTTGGGCGACACTCTGCTGAACCAGTGCAACAGCGCTACCGCGCTATGCTGGGGTAGAGGTAGAGGTGTAGGCAGGCAGAGGGGTGGTGGCCATACCTGCGTCGGCGGTACTTACCTGGGCGCCATAGCTGTTCGCCACGCCGGCGACCTGCACAGGACCACAACGGCAGTTAGTACATGGCGGCAGTTACCTGCAGGTGAGACAGCGAGGAGGACGACACTTTCTTCTTCTTCATCTCGCCCTCCATCTCTTCTCCCTCCTTTCTCCTCCTTCTTCTTCTTCTTCTTCTTCTTCTTCTTCTTCTTCCTTCAGAGAGAGAGAGAGAGAGAGACATTGATTGGACATTCGGCAGGGAGGCTATTTCTGGACTTCGCTATCGCAATCTTGGTCTTCTTCCTCACCTCCATCTTCGTCCTGCCTCTCCCCCATCTCTCATCCCTGGTATCTTCCCCATGTGTGTGTACGCGGAGGGACCTTTCTTCCATGTATGCGGTCCCTCCTCTTCCTCTCACATGTGTGATGTATGATGGGAGGTCGTGTCAGTATCTGATCGGTCAGGTCATATCTTTGAGTCCTCCGTTGCGCTACTTTGTGCTATTTTAGAGGTATATGGCTGGTTGATGCTTTGCTGACACTGCATTGTCCATACGAGTCCTTTTCATCACTTTGCGGATCCTTGGCTCGACTGAGCATGTATCAGCACCTGTCTTGCAGCAAATCAACAATCACATTGAACTACCAGACGTGCAGAGTTGTAAACAGTTCAAAGCAGGCACAAGACTAAAGAAACAGAGAAAAAAAAACATTGAAAAAAGTATGATTAACTTTGAAGTAAGTTATTTAAGTTCATAATGCAATCAGACTCGTCTTCTTCTTACTCAGCATGCATGAAAACAGATGGCAATCACACTGGCGATGAGTGTCCATACAAAGCTCAGAGATATCGTGGCCAAGAACACAGTTCAGATTCAACTCGCTTCGAATGGCTATGTCGCCTGTGCGCCCTTACAACACCCTTCCACGCTGTATCCTCAGCACTGTTCACACGCATGCTACTCTGGATCTCCCTGGATATCCCACACACGCACACAACTCACTGCACACTCACTCACACACACGCTGTAGACTACCTCTAACCTATAGCAGCTATGGCTGTGTCTACCTCAACCACTAACTAGCGGCTATGGCCGCTTCGTCTCTCTTCAGCCCACTTCTTCCTCGGGCACCTGCAGACCTCCTTGCACAAGTCGCTCAGGCAGCACTTCCGCACGGCTCCCAGTCTGAATGAATGAATAACTGGACGCTGCCTCTTGATTTATACTTCAGTTGGTCGCTGGTCTGCTCCTTTCCACCGGGCCTAGGGTGCACACAGTCCCACATGGTACTTGCTGACTGGACAAGGTGCGACTGGGACTGGGTACCGCTGACTGGACCCGGTAAGTCTACCCACTTGCCCACTTGCCCACTTGCCTACAGACTGCTTCTGAGACTCTCGAAGGGGCAGTCGTAGAAGACTCTAGAGTCTAGACCTTCCTACTTGCCTTTTTGGTACTGTAGCGGCTACGACTAAGGTTGACCCTTCAGGCCTACAGCAGCTACGACCAGACATAAGCTACGACTCCTACCCTACAGGTAAGCAGCTCGAACCTACTCAACCCTCGTATGTACAACAGCCTTAAACAGACAACTTTTAGGCGCAGGTCACGGGTTCAAACCTAGATGGGGCAATCTGTACTGTACACGGGTTCGAGGCAGGTCTAGGGATCGAGCCCTGGGATCTGCATCTGCTACTGCAAAGGTGAAAACCGTTTCACATAACTTCATTTTTATTTATTTATTTATTTATTTTTTGTGCGAGGCTACGCCCGCTTTGCCCCTACGGGGCCCTATTTGCAGCAAGGTCGGCTGCCCTAAGTGAAGGCAGGCACGACAGGCCCTTTTGGGCCTCGTTTTTCAGGGTACCCCGCATTGGGGAAAATTCAGGCAGTCGCGCAGCGCCAGTTGGTTGAGTGAACCCAGGCCCTGGGCCGCCTGTGTGAATGTACGAAGTGCAGGCCCTGGGCTGGATTCAGGTACCAGGCCGAACACAGGCCGAAAGCAGTTGGGCGCAGGCAACCACTTCAGGCCCAAGGCCTGCTTTCCTCGTGACTGGGCCTCAGGCTACCGGGGCCTACTGGAAGCTTCCTGGACTGGACGCAGGCAGGCCACTTCGATATAGGGAAGGGCCTGCCTCTCATTTCGGCATTCGGGTGCTGGCTGCATGCTGCGTTAGCGCTGCTGCGCTATCCGCTGGCTGCCTGGCACTCACGCTCTCACGGGCGAGTAGGAGGGAGCACGCAGCCATAGCGAAGCTGCGCTGCTGTATGCTAGGTGAAGCGCAGGGTGGTCCTTGGGTGCTAGTGACATCTGTGCGGTGTGGATCGGGGTTGTGAGTGTTACGAGAGACATACCTGGTGCTGAAGCATGCGACATTGGTCGCCATATGCTCATACTTCGGGAACGTTGTTGATGTCATCATTCTGCTTAGTAGTATAGGCTAGATAGGATCTGCCACATGTAGTCTGGGTGCCGAGCGCCAATAGGATATCAACTCTGGTTCGTAGWTGATGATGATGGGACTACTTCAGCATTGTCAATTTTGAACTCTTGGTGTGTTCTTATTTGGTGTATCTCGTGATGCAAGTCTGCTGTGGTTCGAGGTCAATACTATCTGGGCTCGTATGTATGAAGCTGTTTGATTGCTGAAKTTCGCTAATGCTCATCTTCCTTGCAATTTGGTATCGGAGCTGTGGTACGATTGCGCTCATCTGGCGCTTGTCTTCTGCCTTATACGGTACATACATGCGGTCTGCTGGGAGAGTTTGGCCGTAAGTGGTGTGTAGTGAGGAGGGTGGAGACGAGTGTGAAGGCGACCCGGGTGGTGAGGGGCATCGCCTGGAAGGCTAAGGTGTAAATATTGGGTGTTCACAGTGTGATGAGAACTATTTGTTGGGTGATTGAGGCTGAGGTGGCACGGCGAAATGCTGGTTGTGCCGATGCTGTGACTGGTCATCGCAATCATCTTCAGGTCATCTGGTGAGATTATCTCTGTGGTTGGGGGCAGCATGAACGAGGTACGTTGCTCTTAACCTTATCTACCCTCTTAATCAGTTCTTACCGTGAGGTTGTGAGTTTTGTCTTGAGAGTCCTCTCATCGTGAGGTGTCGTGTGCGCTCAACCTTGAGAATCGTGATTGTTCACGTGGAGCATCTGGGGGAAGACGGGCTGAGCTTTTTGAAGGGCCCTGGACGAAGCACTGGGTCACGGTCACCATGCCAACCCACTGGGTGTAGTACACACATGCTTCGCTGGAAGTCATTGGTTCTGCTGCTTGCGCATGATAGGGGTTAACTCGAGTGAGGCAGCCTCTACAGACGCATACCAGACCGTCTATAAACATTTCTGGCTGGGGACTCGGCTCTGATCTGGCTGTGATCGTCGTCCTGCTGCGACGTAAAATAATTCCTGATGTCACTTGGGGGCGGACGTTAAATTGCCTCTTGATCAGCCACATCATCCGAGTGGAAGGCTCGTCGGCGTACGAGGGTAAATAAGAGTGTTGTGGCTGCCTTGCTCGACGATAACCCGGGCCACAGGGGTGGGGCAGGATTGCACACCTTTGAGACACGCTTGGCTTCTGATGAAAAGAAACGTGACACCGTGACACTGAGAAGAACAAAGGGAGGGGTAGATTTCAGATGATAAGTTCGGGTTTAAATTCCAAACTGTGAACAGACCCGGTCAGTCAACATTATTTTTATTATTGATTAGTTAGATGGACAGCCATGTGACATCTGACAGACAGCATTAGTTTAGAATATTATTTATTCCTGATGCTTTCTCTGTTTGGGAACTAATCTTACTAAAAGTAGTATTGACAGTAGGAACCTCACTTACCTGTTGACCCCAAATGAGATCTGTTCTGAAAATAGCCACCACGAATTAGTTGGTCTGTGTACTATGCTGCGGTAGGCATCTAGAATGATCTAGTGTGGACAGTGCACAGTGCTGTAGCCTATGAGCGACGTGGAGGACACCGGAGAGGACGACCGCAGGACCTTACGATCGGCTAGAGGACCGGTATCCCACGTGTCTTTAGGACCGGAGGGTGATAGGGAACTGTTCCGCCGGCAGAGGGAGAGGCAGCAGCAGAGGAGAGTTAGAGCAGCCAAGGCCAGCAGGGCATTTGCTAGCGAGGCCAGTGCTATAGCAGCCATGGCTACCACATAAATAAGCACGTCTGCGCAGCAGACTTCCCAAGCCGGTAGTTCAGGTACCGCCGGGTCCACGGTCGTGCAGACCGTGAGTCAGTCCACTGGCTTAATGGCAAGCCAGCCCGCGGTGTTGTCCCCAGAGGATGTCGGCATCCAGCAGGCAGCCCTGCAAGAGGCACAGTTACAGCAGGCATTAGGACAGATAAAGAGAGAGAAGGAAATGATGATTAGAAGGAGAACCAGGATGCAACGAAGAGGGGCAGACATAGAGGAGTTAGAAAGGATGGACCTGACCACTATGGATGATGATGTTAGAGTAGTTAGGAGGGCCCTGCTAGGCGTTATAGAAATACAGGAGCACCAAACTACCATCCTCCATGACATCCAACAGAGCCTTGCCGTTTTGGCAGGCCATGCTCAGGCAGCACCATCTCCAGCAGGGCCTGG